AAAATACAGTGATTGTTATTGTAGCAGTCAATGTCTATGCCAGTTCTAATGAATTCAACTATGCTGTCAGGAAGTCACCTGAGTTTTAAAAAGAAGAAAAGTAGTTCTGTATCTGAATCACAAAGCCTTCAAGCTTTGTACCATATAGTCTAAGTTATACAATGGGAAATAATTACAATCTATATTTGAAATACAGTGCTGGCAGGTAAGTTACCATCTGACAAGGAGAAGGAGAGGTGGGTTTTTTGATTTCTTTTAAGTGACCGTTAATAAGGGAAACTTAGTTACCAAGCCATGTGTGGGCTATGCATATAGTTAAAAGAGCATACTCTGCGATTTTTTTCTTCTGTAAAATTTGCAACTTTCTTTAGTAAATTACCTAAAATCCCTTCCTTCATGTGCATTGGTCTTACAAATAGGAGACAAGCTCTTTGCCTCTGAATTTGAGATAGAATTCACACTGCTATTTCCCTTCCCCTACTCTTTCTTCCTGAACTTAAATTAGTTTTTCTGGTAACCGAGGGGTTTCAGATCAGGTTAAAGGTAAAACCTCCTCTTGAATCCTCACTGCAAAAAGTAGAACAGAACTTTTTGGCAGTAAGGATAGCCCTTTATAGCAGGAAAAGAGCTGTAATTTTTGCTAGAAGCCAACCGAAATAATTATTCTGGTAGATCACTGCCTCAGGCCTTGTTTCTCTTTAGTACTTTTCTAAAAAAGGGTAGTAATGTCTAGGTGCTTAAAGTTTTCTGGATCTTAAGTAGATGGAGCCTAGAGAAGGAAAATAGAGACAACATCAGTGCATAGGTAGATCTACTGATGACATAACTGAGGATTGAAATCCTGCTAATTGATACCTAATGTTTCTGTTTTAAAACTCTTTAAAAGTGGTAATCATGAGACTGCTCTCTTCTCTTTAAATGCCATTTCAAAAGATAGTGTTAAATAAACACCTTTCTTTCATGGATGCCTTGCTTGTTTTTACACTGGCCAATGAGCAGATGCAGGTTTGGGGAAGATTACTGCATTCTCCGGTCACATTCTTATTAAATAGTCTTGCAGTTCTGGTACCTGGTATTAGTGCATGACCAAAAGCCTGTCAGTAAATGACACGGAATAGAAAAAGCAAATTATTACCTTAGATACTGATAACAGTAGCTTTATGTTTTGGGAAGTGTGGTGGTTTTTGCCATTTACCCTTTTTGGTTTACAGGAAGTTTATCTTAATGTAGGTTTTTTCTTACAAAGTTCAGTTGAATGATTTAAAATGTCATTGGACAAATGTGGGGGGATAGTTCTATCACAGAATCCTTCCAAATTTGTTCCTTGTCTAAAATGTACCAGTTCTCTCAGTGTTTGCTGAATAGCACTAAAATAATATTTTAGTGGTGAAACTTAAAGCCTAGAATGTAAGATTTGTACTGACAGTGAAAGTATGTACTCCACGTTAGTACATCTCTTGCAATACAGTTTGATGTGTTTGATGGTTTAAGACTGAGCAGAATTGTGTTACGTGGCATTTTTGCATAGTTTCAACTTTAGATTATCTTTACATTTTCTATATTATTCTGTACATTATCTCTGACTTCATCTGACAATGTAGCATGACTTCTAATTACACATACACAGATTTGAATCTGTGGGATCACTGTAACAAAAAAGATCAGGCTTGCATGCAGATTAATACTTAGCAGTCTGTTTATTCCAGACAGCATATCCCACTATTTCTTCTCCTTGTCTTCCCCCTCAGACCAATTAACAAGTTTGCCAGCTAAGGAACACCTTTTTTGCATCTTAGAGCAATTTGCTAGGGTTTCCTGAACCATATACCTACGTTGTTTTCTTCTAATAAATCACCTTCTCATGGAATCTTATTCCATTTTTTGGTGAATGTGGAAAAACAATTGGCAGGTGAAACTAGGATAAACTCATCTCAAATAAAAGATGCTTCTGAGATTGTAGTGAGCTGAAGTAACGCTTTTATAAGACAGTGTTGCCATAAAGCTTGGCAGCTATGCAGGTGGCTGCTTTCGATCCCATACCAAAAGCAATACTGAAAGCTCCAAGGTGCTGCATGATAATGTCTGTTAAACTTTGGCTTTAGTCAGGCCGTTTTGAAGGTTAGTGGACTTTCTAGTAATTTATCTAAGCAATAAAATAGAAGCTTTGTTTTTTATGGGGATTTGGTCAATAATTAGGATTGAGACCTTCAGAGATACTTGTGTGTGGTTTAATGTAGGTATGACAAACTGTCTTTCTGTAATGCAAATAAATGTGTGGTTTTTTGTGAAGATTTTTATCCCTGCTACTTAACACTAGTGAAGACTGCAGTGCATCTAAGTGACATCTGAAAGATGCGAAGAAGTTGGTCCCTGGCTGCAAAGACAAATATTGCGGTGTTAGCAGTCAGATACTTGCATGACAGTGTGACACTATCTAGTGTATCTTCTGGAAAATGTGAAGGTTTCTGGCACAACGAACAGCCAGTGTGATATAATGAATATATTTCTTTTCATATGTTGGCAACAAAAGTATTTGGTGTTCTTATGTATTTCTTGTGTGCACGTAGATTTAAATCTACCTGTTGTCTTCGGTTGCAGCAGTTGCATCTTTTGGGTTAATATAAATCCAAGGATTTGTATTTTGTTTGAAGAGTGTTGGTGTCTGGTAATAGATGGTGTATAATTGTTTTTATGGGGGGCGGGGGGGTAACTGTAGCGTGGATTAGCAATAATAGCTTGTGGCTCTCCAGGAGAAAATGAGTTCTTCCTGGTAGTCCACAGTGTAATAGGTTTTCATCATAAAAATCCATCATTTCAGTTAGTATTTCCTTTTCTTTGTGGATACTGCTAACCCATAAAAGCAAAGTAATTCTATCAAATGGTTATTTTGTCCTTTTTTGCCCTTCTTCCTATGATCAAAAAATCTTTTGAGTGGATTAGAACAATGTTGAATGACCAGATTAAACTGTTTTAAAAACTTATTCTGTTGAGAATACAGTACTGTAGCTAAGAACTTGCAGTAAATTAATCTGTGAATGCTGCCTTCAGTGGTGCTTGTTAGTGCAGTATCTTGCATGAGTATATATTTTTACTGTAAGTTCCAGAAACATAGAATTAAACAGTAAAACAGCTCTCCATCCACTCTGTCCTTTATATGCCAGAGTCTTTAGTGCAGGGAATATGCATGTATAATAAATGGGACAGCTTGTACTTGCAGTTGTGAGTGAAAACTTGTTCAGACAAGTTCCTTCCCCCCCATGTGAGTAGACCTTGCATGAATTTATGTAACTCAGAAACAAGTTCTTTAAAGACATTCAACTTTTTGAGGAATGGTGAATATTCACGTGTATTCTTCCATGTTCTTGCCAGCTGTAAAATATCTGTAGGTAGGTGATGAAAATGTGAGAGTCCTGATTTTTGCAATTCCATCCATGTGGATATACCTTACTTCAGAGTCTCAGTAATCCTATTCCTATAGGAATCTGCTAGTGTATGGCATGTTGAAGGGTTGGAACAGTAAGAGAAACAAATGAGATGTTGCAATAAGTAGTCCCTGTCAGAAGACTTGCATAAAGAGCGATTTCTTGTGACTATATTCATGTTTAATTTTTCTTCAAGTCATGTTTTAACTGTTGGCCTTTTCTGTCTCTTGAACAATTGCAGTGACTAGTTCTGCACTTGTTTTCTCAATTTTGGGTATATTCATACTGCCTAATCACATGCTTAGATGAGACATGCATGATATTTGTAGTCATCCAGGTTCTTCTCTGTGCTTCCTGTAATCAATAACAAATTTCACTTGTATAATTATACCTAAACTACTCTATACCTGCCCTGAGCAACAAAGCATATCTGTTCTTCTATTTAAACAGCTTGAAGATTTTTAGCCAATCCAGAGCATAATGAGGAACATAGCTTGAAGAAATATCTTGGCATTTTTTAGGCTGTTCAAACTATTCAGAAGTGATACTGATTACTGTAGTAGCTTCTGATGTTTCTTAAAAGTTTCACTTTTTTTCACTTCTTACTAAAATATAAATAAAATCAGCACATGAACATACAAATGCCTTATGTCTGAAGCTTGTTGGGAGGGAAAAAAACCTCATCTAGTGCATTAAATATTCCAAGCAAATCTAAAAACTAAAACTGTTAATCTCTTTGTGAATCATTATTATTCCAAACTTGGAGTTTAGGTCTTTAAACTCAATTATGTTATATAAAATATTTTGAAAGAATCTTATTAACCAAAAATAGAGCAGGCTGTAACAAAGAGTTCTTATGAATGGTAGGGTGACCTTTTCTTCTTTTCCACATAGTTTTGGGGTCTGAGCAATGATCACTCTGTGCTGGATGTGATGAGTTGGACGGGGTGGAGAACTTTCAAAACCTAGGTTCAGTTACTGGAACAATAATTTTCCATTGAGTTAACATAGCTGTTGACACACCCTGAGTGGAAACATGACTTAAGACTTTTCCTTATATAAAAACAAAGATGTACTATTTGGAATTCAAATGGATAGAAAGTAGGCACTGACCTCCAGCAGAATCACAGCTTGATGCATATGCAAAAATATGGATTATTTATAGGTAGTCTTAATGTTAATTGTCGTAATGCATCTGTATGGGTTTTGGGTTTACAGCATGTAATGCTTTTCCAGCTTTTTATATATGTCAGGAATCCCATGCTGCTGCTTAGGAGCGGTGGCAAGATCTTTGTAATATATCACATAAAACCATCACTTTCAGGACAATTAATTCCATAAGAACTTCAAGTAAAATGTAGTACCTTGCTCTTTAAAATATCTGTTCACTTAATAGAATTCAATTAGAGTTTTTAAGGTACGTGAAGTTGTCATGCCATATTTACTCAACTTATGTCATAAGTAATTTTTAGTTTCTAGGCAGTAACAAACTAACATTGTTCTGTGCCTTTTCATTTTTGGAACCTGTCAGTTATGAGCATTCATAATTGTGTTTTTTGGTTTTTTTCTCACGCAACTTAAGGGCAACATATTTTTCAAGTTCTCCAAGTATTCTTGCACAACGAGGAAAAAGAAGAAACATTTCAGTGAATGAGGAGGTTTTTGCTTCTATAGTGTTTTTCTTGAGAAGTGGGTCTTTGAATGAGGATGACAATGGAAGAGATGAAGAATGAAGCAGAGACCACTTCTATGGTTTCCATGCCTCTCTATGCTGTTATGTACCCTGTCTTTAATGAGGTAAGCTACCTTTTGCTTTGGAATGAAATAACCCACTTTTCGTTGGGAAATATGACCACAGTAACAGGTGGCTCATCTTGATTGGGAAAGGTTTGTGTATAACACCATCTTCTTCCTATGCATTGGTTTACCCTTCTTTCCATGAATACACTTTCATGCTCAAAGATTGCTAGTTGTCTTGGCCCTGATCTTTCTTCTGTACTTCTACAAGAGGATTTTCAAACATGCTAGGTTCTGCTTTCTATGTCAGGAAGTAATGTACAGTTGAACATGTACCTGTGAACAGCTTGATAACATTTTAATTTTACTGCTGATGACTATAACTTAATAGGATATTTGTTTTTCTGTGAGTATTGGAGATGGTCAAGATGTTCTCAAAAGCTGCTGTCAGACTTCTGCTGTAGGCTGGATAAATGCAAAATATGTCCAGTGAAATGTTTGATTTTAATGTTTTTATTTTGGGCAGGGAAGTCTTTCCTTTGGGATCAAACTTTATAGTATTTCTTCCTCAAATGAGACCAGTAATTTGAATGCTTCTGTAAATTCCCTGTTTTCATGATGCTATGTAAGGCAAGGCATGAGTACTTGGCTTGTTTTGTTATGAAAATATCAGACTTGCTAATCATTCTAAACTTTTATTGCAGCTAGAAAGAGTAAATCTATCTGCAGCTCAGACACTGAGAGCAGCTTTTATTAAGGTGAGAAGTAACTTGTACTGAAGAATGATTGTTTAAAAGATAAACCATGTATGATGAAGCCAAAAAGTCAGCTGTCTTGTTTCCTTGTGTCTTCATGTTTGAAAACTGCATCCTTGATCCAATAACATAAAAATAAAGTGGACAGTTGCATGGACTGTAAGTTTGAGATGTCTGCAAATGTTATGAGTAGAAATCTGATACAAGCATATTGAGCAATTCTAAACAAAAAGAATCTTGTCCTGTCCATGTAGTACAAGAGCTTAAATGGGAAATCAGTCAGTGAAGGTAGTAAGGCAATAAGCTTTGTCTAAATATGACAATCCTATGTAGAATAGGTGCTCATGAGAAACGGGCATGTAGCAGACTTTGAACAGGGTTTACAAAGTGAATGGTAATGGGATTTTTTTTGTAGTTGAGGATAAATCCAATGTTTGTATTTTGCATCTAGCAGTAAATGGAAAAATTCTTCTAACTTTTCTGTTATATTCCTAAAGAATGAAAATACAGATATTCCTTCATACTGCTTTATTGAAGTGGTGATCTTTTGAAACTCTTTAAACAAAAATAATTGTGGACATGACATATATTAACATGTGAGGTATGCAACTAAGTAGTACTTCCCTGTTTCTACACTTAGATTTAAGTGTACCTAGATGGTCTTAAGTCTCAACTAGAGCTCATACAAGTTAAGTGTTTTTAAGACTGGTGGTAAGGAGCTAAGCTGAACGCAAATAATGTAAAAACAGATATTGCTGGAAATGGTGGGGCTAAAAATCCCACACACCGTCATTCTTATTCAACACGTATAATTCTTTGACAGCAACGCAAGTAGTGTGAATACCTCCAATGTTAGTCTAGCTTAGCTTTACTTAGATATGTCATCAATAAAAAGTTTTTTTTCTGAAAAAGCAATTCCAAGGTGATGTTTGAGCATATGATGTTATTCTTAAGAGGCACACTTAGAAAATGTCATGTGGAAGATGGGGGAGTAGCACCTGTGTTTGAGTGAATTAATTCCCAATGGATACAATATTGTCTCAAAGCTTAGTGTTTATGGAAATATAACAATATAGTTTCATGAAAAACTTTCTTACTCAAATTGAAATGAGTGGAAAGGCTTATTGGAAAAGCTGTTTATACAAAACTACTGATGTAATCTAAGAAAAAATGGATGTTGTAGTAGAAGAATGGTTTTCAATGTAATTGGCTAGTTTAAAGCCGTTAGACTTTTTAAAGTTTCTAGCAAAGTCCTGCAGTATATGAAGCAAGTTCCATGAAAATCTGCCTTTGTGCTTGCAATATTCAGGTCTTGCATGTTTAATAATAAAATTTTTCTTTGCCATACAGGCTGAAAAAGAAAATCCAGGTCTTACGCAGGACATCATTATGAAAATTCTAGAGAAAAAAAGTGTGGATGTGAACTTCACAGAGTCTCTTCTGCGTATGGCAGCCGATGATGTAGAAGGTAGTATTCTTATCTCTTACGTTGAATAAGTGTATTTTTAATTACACTGTTAAGTAGGAACATGCATTTCTCTATACCTATTTTCAGAAGAGGTTATTGGTTTCTTAATAGATTTTTTCCAGCATGATAGAAGAATATTTGTATTTTGTGAATACCTTTTTTGAGAAATTAAATCTTCCTAAAAAACATACTTGACTAATAAGACACATAAAGAAAATTAATGTTTAGATCTGTGTTTATGTGGGTGCATAGTTCATCTTTTGTAATGTGAACAACCAGAAAAAAGAGAGTATAATATTCACCTTCCTTTGCTTCAAATTAAAAGCAGTAGTTATACTGTCAGAGGAGGGGAGCGTCCAGTAGGGTTTAAGCTATTTTAATACTGCATTTGATTAGTGTAGTGTCTTCAGTGTCTCACTTAAAGTAAGATGGGCTTTTTTTCCAACTTGCAATATTAAAGATTCTTGTTGCACCATGTTTCTGTTGATGCAGTGTATTCACTGTAGCTTTCTGGTCATGGCTATTTTTGTGCTGTTTACTTTCAAATGTAACATGGCAATACAGCTGCATTTTGTGAAATAGTGTTTTTAGCTGTCACTAGAGACTTGAGGAAGAAATAATGGTATCTTTGAATATGTTCTTCTTGTTAGAGTATATGATTGAAAGACCAGAACCAGAATTCCAAGATCTTAATGAAAAGGCACGAGCACTTAAACAGATTCTTAGTAAGATTCCTGATGAGATCAATGACAGAGTGAGGTTTCTTCAGACAATCAAGTAAGTACTGTATTATGTATTTTTCTGCAGATTGACGGGTCAAACTTTTTATTTAATCTGAATGTTCAAATGCCGTAGGAGATGCTAGCAACACTGTTCCCATTGGAAGCGAACCTGATCTTTCCTTGTAAGTGAGTGGACAGAGTTGAGGATCTTGACTGAACTGAACTTGCTGATTCCTAGTTTGAATTCCCATGTCACTGGTATAGCTCTTTGCATTTGGTTTTGGTACATCCTGTCTGACACTTACTCTGTAGAGTCTTGTTTTAAGAAGTATTTGACTACTAAGAGGGGATTATATTCCAGTGTTTAAATAGGATAGCTTAAGGATACTACAACAATCTTTTAATTGCCAACAGGGACATCGCGAGTGCAATAAAGGAACTTCTTGACACAGTAAATAATGTCTTCAAGAAATACCAATATCAGAACCGGCGGGTATGTGCAATAACTTTTCATACAATATTTTTAATAGTATAAGAGGAAGCATATCAAAGGATGAATAGGAGAGCTTAACTGGTCGATGACATAATACTTTAACAACAGGATTGTTATATGGTAGGTCTCGGTAGTTCTATAGGAAGAGGATGATTTCTCTGCATGTCTTCTAATAGAAATAAATCAAAATCTTTATACCTAACGTAATGTTAGCCAATTTTCTTATCAGTTTAACATCAAGATTCTTACTGTACCCAGTAATATGTGAACTGAGACTCTGCGCCTGGTGTTTTTGTTTTCTTAGGCACTTGAGCATCAAAAGAAAGAGTTTGTAAAATACTCCAAAAGTTTCAGTGATACTCTGAAAACCTATTTTAAAGATGGAAAGTAAGTATGTTTTTGTAGTAACATTTTACATAATAAAAGGCCTTGTCGACTAACAGGGGAAGATAGGACAAGCTACCTTCTTCAGGACTTGCCTTATTTTTCCTCACCTGTGACCCCAGACCATCGTGGCTGCTTTAAAATACTTCTGTTCCTTTAATAATGCCTTTGAAGAAAGGGAAGTCTGTTAAATGCACCACCGTACAACACCCATGTGCAGTATTAACTTAGAACTTGAATATGTGAAGTTAAGTTTCATGGCCCTGCGTGGTTTTTCTCAGTGTATATACAAGGACAAAAAACTTACAAATGCTTTATTGAAAAATGTTACCTATCTGAAATATTATTTGCAAACACTAAACATCTCTGCAGTGTTTTCTCAAATTTACATTGTTATTGTCCTTTCTTTATAGCTCCTTATAGTGCTTAATAGATTTGGAATTACTCAGCTGATTAATCTTTTTATAGTTAAACAGTTTTGCCTTCAAACCAAGGCTTTTTTTCAGATCTTCACCTTGGGTTTTGAAGTCACTGTTCTTGTACACCACAGTAAATGCTTTGGATGATTAGTGTATCCCCCTCAGACTTTGACAGTGCTTAAGTGTTCTGTGTGCTGCAGTTTTAAAGATGAGAACTAACTTTCACGTCTGGTCTTGTTGAGCTTGGCAAAGACTAAGAGCACCCAGGGGATAGTGCTTTACTAAAGGAGAGAGAAGTCTTAAGACCAGCTGTAAATTATAGAATCATAGAATCTAGAAAGGTACCTTTTAAGGTCATCTAGTCCAACATCCCTGCAATGAGCAGGGACATCCTCAACCACCTTGCTCCTTTCAAAGCATTCTTTTTTTTTTCTTCCTCTTATTGAAAATGGGGCTAAATTTGGTTTTGATACCAAAATGAGAAATTTAGACCTTGGTAGCTTTGATTACTGAACCAGACGTATAGATAGGTTTCACATGAACTGGGTCTAAACAGTCTCAGTTGATTAGAAAACTATTTGACTGAAAAAATGGGGAAAGGGTTGTATGTGTTGTGCATGGACCCCCAACCCTACTGAAAGAGACTGGCTTGGTATAGCCCTATGTGAAGTGAATGCTGTGCTATGTGTTGTGGGCATAAGCTGTAAGTGTGTTAGGTTATTATCAATATTGCAAGAAATCGCAGGTAAGGCTTGTATTTCATACCATCGTGGAATCTGAAGCAATTTAAATCTGAACTGCATGTTGAGGATATCCTGCTTCCACTAGAAAGTAATAGCACTGAACAAAGGTCATGCTAACAGATGTCACTACTGAGCTGAAAAACTCACACCTGTGTGTGACCCCACACCTTTTTCTTAACGAAAAGGTAACCAAAATCATGGAATCATGGAATGGTTTGGGTTGGAAGGGACCTTAAAGATCATCTAGTTCCAAGCCTCTTGCCATGGGCCGGGACACTTTCCACTAGACCAGGTTGCTCAAAGCTCCATCCAGCCTGGCCTTGAACACTTCCAGGGATGTGGCATCCACAACTTCTCTGAGGAATCTGTTCTAGTGTTTCGCTACCCTCATCGTGAAAAATTTCTTCCTTAAATCTAAATTTACTCTGTTTGAAGCTATTACACCTTGTCCTATTACTACAGGCCCATGTAAAAAATCTCTCTCCAGCTCTCTTGTAGCCCCCCCTTCAGGTACTGGAAGGCTGCAATAAGGTCTCCCCATAGCCTTCTCTTCTCCAGGCTGAACAACCCAACTCTCTCAGCCTGTCCTCATAGGAGAGGTGTTCCATCCCTCTGATAGTTTTTGTGGCCTCCTCTGGACCCTCTCTAACAGATCCATGTCTTTCCTGTGCTGAGGGCTCCAGAGCTGGCTGCAGCACTGCAGAGGGTTCTCAGAGTGGAACAGAGGGGCAGAATCACTTCCCTCGACCTGCTGGTCGTGCCACTTTTCATGTGGCTCAGCGCATATGGTTGGCCTTCTGGGCTGCAAGTGCACACTGCTGGCTCATGTTGAGCTTCTCATCAGCTGGCACCCCAAGTCCGTCTTGGCAGGGCTGCTCTCAATCCATTCTCCATACAAAATAGTATGTCGCTTCCATGTGCATGCGTGCTTAGTATTTCTTGAGGAAACTGCTGCGAATTCTGAAATTACTAGTGGATGAAATCTTCAGCTCTGAAAAGAATAGTCGTTTAATGATCATCTGCTCCCCTCTTGCCCTTAGTTAGCTGAAAACCCAGAACTGAATGATTGCTACGTCGATGATTGAGAGCCAAAGTCTTGAAGTTCCTGCAAATAAACATAGTTTTTCTAGGCTAAGCTTATCTGTTTGCCAGCAGTAAGTTTCAGGTAGATGACGGTGTGATAAAACATTAATGTTTCCAATATGCAGAGCCCAGATGCCAATATATTTAGTTGCCCAAACTTAATGCTGTATTTGTTGAATGGCACGTTTTTAAATGCCTGAAGCAATATCTTTCTCTTTTAACAGGGCAATAAATGTGTTCATAAGTGCCAACCGACTAATTCATCAAACCAACTTGATACTCCAGACCTTCAAAACTGTGGCCTGAAAACTGTATATGTTGAGAGTTGTACTTTTCAATGGTGGATAGGGTACCTTTATATGTAAATTTTAAAGTTTTGACTGTATAAATTATCAGCCCCTCTTGAGGGGCCTTAATGCAGGATTTTGGGATTATTGCCATCTTACACCATATTTTTGTAAAACATTGTAGCTTAATCATAATCTCACAATGAAGATTTTGCATCACTTTTTGCTATTATCATTCTTTTCAGAATTATAAGCCAAAAGAATTTACGCCTTAATGTGTCATTATGTAACATTCCTTATAAGAATTGTAAATATTTGGTGTTCTGTTTCTGACATTTTAACTTGAAAGTGGAAAACTGCAAGATTATGTATTTAACAATATTGGTGGCAAATATTCAATAAATAGTTTACATCTGTTAGACTGTCGTCTTGTATGTGAACACAAATGCATAACTCATCTTTCTAGAACTGCAGAACATTCATTAAATGGAAAAATTAAAAATATTTGGGTGCTTAAACTGCTGGCAGTTCAAATCAGTGTAAAATGAGGGTTTTTCCTTAAAATTGAGGTTTTTGGCTGCGATCTAATATTAGACAAGAATACCAGAATAATTCTATTAAAATGTCTTTGACAAAATAATAAAGAACCCCAGAAGTGAGATGTGCTTTTGTTTTTCATAGAAACTAAATCCCAGTTTCTTAATCTTCTGTTGGTGATGAACTAACAGGTTTTTATTCCTGGACTACTCCAAGGTTTGAGCAGAGGATTACTTTAAATATATGCAGCTGACTATGCAGCAAAGGGTGACTCTTAAAGTATTAAGATAACTGGGGTTTATATTGGTACCCTTCTGGGACGGAGGAGGAGACGAGACAGAACTCTTCCAGGTAGCACTAGTGATGCCTATACTATGCATGCCATAAGGCAACTTTTTATTTTTTTTCAGGGATTGAAATCGTGTGAGCCCTTGATTGACAAAACTTGTCTGTGTTGAAGTTTAACAACTGCTGATGGAGAGATTCAAATTTTATCATTGTGATTTCATGGTAGTATTTAACCAGTTCTAATGAATGTCTTGCATGCCCCTTTGAAGTACACCTTGAGTTTCTTTTGAAATAGGGTTATTACAGAACAAACTTCCAAAAGTCTTCAAAATATTTACCTGGTCATAACTAGTAAGTTTAGGGAAGAATGTGAAACAGTTTATAAAGCTGCACAGGCTGTTGCAGGAGGATCACTTCAGACTGAAAGAGCACAGTTGCTATAGAACTATTCCTTGTTTAGGTATAAATTATGAAGTAAAGGTACAGCCAAACTTTTCTTGCACACTGGCCTGGTGCTGTATTGCTCATTTGGGGCAAGTGTCTGATCTGGAGTACAACAGCTGGGTCTTTGAATTTGGTTATCTGCTTAAATGATCTAGAAGGGGAAAATTATATCTGCAGCCCTCCAAAATAGCACTGGATGTTCTGCCGTATATCTCTGCATAGAAATGTTTCCTTGATGAAAGCACTGACTGTGGTGAAATACAACAATGTAAAGGAGAGTATTATGTAAAAATGAGTTCTTGGGAATGTGTGTTGTGAATTCCTTTCTTACATAAACAGGACATGGTCCTTAAAGCTTGCTGTTCAGGCTGTTTTCTGTTTTGACAGTGGTGTCTTGCATTTACTAGCAAATTCAGCTTAGTAACATGACAAAGGAATGCATATACAACTTATAGTTAAAACTGTTGTTTATTAAAGCTTGGCATGCTAAATTGTCACTTCTTGGAAAGTGGTAGAAGAGAAGCAATGTTAGCAGTTAAAAAGGAGGCAGCCTGACTAATTTTGAGTAATATTTAATTTGCATCTTTGAATTCTGCAAGTAAAAAGGTTGAGTAGTCTTCTATGCAGATGATGTTAGCTTAAGTCATAGCACCAAAGGACTTAAGGAAAACTAGTTAGTTAAGTAAAAGAAAGGGAAAGGCACCCAGAGTTTCTGATACTTCATTTGTCTTGAAAACAGTGTTTGGTTCAGGGGGGACTACCAGTGGCTGTAAGAAGAGATGTGAAAAGCTTGGATTATACTTCGTGAATTAGACTTGATTCTAATAAAATTATGAGATTTTTCTCCTCTTGGATTGAGAAGGACAATAGCTAGTGTTGGCAGTCCTGATTAGTTGGATGGTATCATGTTTATGTGTGCAGGTGTAGTTTAAAAAAAAAGAAGAAAAAAATTATGACATGGTTCCCAAACAAGATGTGTTATGTCCTGCTAATTGACTCCTTGAAGTTAGAAATCAAAGGGGCTGTCAAGAAACGAACTGTTCCTTTTGATGAGTTCTTCCAAAAGCTTCTATTAGGTAAAAGGTACCAAGTATAGGGCTAAGCTTCAGGTAGTCTGGCCAATATGTTTTGTTTTATTTGTAAGCTTACTGTGATTTCTTTTTGTTACCCTTAAAAGTAATGGAAAATTTATTCATTGTAATCAATGTCTGGTAATGGGAAAACTTAAAGACCCGATTTCTTCAGGTCATACTCTTCTACTGTGTGCAGTGAATCTCTATCTAGTGGTCTTACAAACTTCATTTTCTGTTGAGTATGAGCTTGGGCGTATGTCTGTCAAATTTTACTGTGGTTTTGCACTTTATTATTAAAGTTACCTGAGTAGCTAAAGATAAGTTTCTCTTAAGGATTTCTAATAGAGAAGTTAGTGTTGCAAAACGCTATTAGAAAATTTCTGCTGTGAATGTGGGTTATAATTGATGTGATAATGTTAACATACAGAAAATCAATCTAATAAAACAGAACTTTGTATAATTGTTAATGAAGTAAAGAAATTACTTAATCACTTGTTTTGATCTTTCTCAGCCTATAAAGAAATTGAGAAAAGCTTAGATTGGCTTATTTCTGGTTAGAAGCTTCTTGTTTAAAATTCTGTAAGATGTGCCAGGTGCCCAGCTCAGTATAGGCTTTATCTTGTGTTGATGTAAAGTGGCAAGTATGAAATTTCACAGTGTTCTGGTGTCAGAATGTCTGTTTATCCAGGCAGTAAGATGAGTGGTATCAGTCTTGATTAAGCATTATCTTTTTATATAATCTTATCTAGATTACCACTGAAGTGTTCCTTCTTAATGTTCTTTTTGGATCTTTCACTGTATGTCAAAGGAAGAGTTGCCTTATTCTGCAGGTGTTATCTGATCTTTTTATTTTATAAGAGACTGTGTACGTGTCTCTGAATTGGGTGGGGAATGTAAAAGAAGGTTATCTAGACAAGCTTGCTACAAATCTGAGTTTTAGATTGTTCCATTATGAAGGGGAGATGAAATAAATTTAACTTAATGTGTGAGATACTAACAACCACATTTGGCACAGCAGTGATTATCACTTACCTTTGGAGTAGGCGCTGGCTGTTCTGCTTGAGAATATTGCTTTGCCTTGCTCAGTAGGGCTCATCTTCCCACAGGACTAACCAGTGCCCTCTGAAAAAGGTTTTGCAAGCAGTTTCTACTTGTGAGCTGTGGGAACTCTTCTAGCTTTGCATAATGATTCAATGCATTTGTTCAGTTTGTTGTTTTTCACTCCACTGTTTTGGTCTTCCTCGTTCTTTTCTGGGCAGAACTTGCTTTCAAGAGACTAGTAGGAAACATGCTTCAGGAACAGAACGACTTCATAGCAGCAACCTTGGTGCTTAAAACAGGACTGAAAAGATGCTTCTGGGTCATCAAGTTTGGCTTCCAGTTGCAGAAATTGAAAAGTACCGTATAATGTTGGTCATAAATCTGTCAAATTCTATGTTGAAACTAGCTTCTTTGTCCTCATTCCTCTTGTTAGATGTCCTTTTAGAACAGTCTGAAAGGAAGAAAAGAAAACCCCACACCACCTTCAAATATTGGAGTTTAATATGCTGCATAAATTTAATTTATGATGAAGAATTCACTAACCTTGTCCGCAAATTGTTCTTTTTCCCTCTTCTTCACTTAGTCTTGGGATGAATCGTATACCATCTTGGGCTTCACTTCTAAAGATACATAATCCCAAGTTTTTTGTCCTCTTTTAAAAAGAGCAGAGGTATTAGGGAATTTAAAATTTTCTCCTTTGAGGCTGAGATAATTTTTTTTTTTTCCCTGATGCTTGTAACACAAACTTGAATTTTGCAACAAATTTCACTGGAGGTGGTGTCTCCAAGGTGGAGGAGGAGGACAGTTTGGCTCATACAGAGATTTCTGTAGAGGTGATGTCCCTTAGCTTCTCTTTCCC